CGGCACGAGTGATGACGTTGAGTTGGTGCGAAAAAGAAAGCCCCATAGGGCCCCGAGGTGGCCTAAGAGATGTTCACGGCGGCACCAGAGACGCTTAAGAGGGCCACAGGTGGCCCAAGAGCGCTCCAACATGGTTCCACATGGCATCAAACGGCCCGAGAGGTCCCCAATGTGCCCCAGCAGGGCCCCAGGAGATCCCGAAGAAACCCGCAAGGGTGCCCCAACAGGCAGAAACCATTGAGTTGCCTTAGGTGTTTGAAGGGCAAGAGCCGGCCTGGCCTGGGGCCTGCCCGCAGGAGCGCGGGGCAAGAGCAGGAGGGCCCTCTCGCCGAAGGCTCAGGGCACCATGGAGAAGAGGGAAGAGGAGGGGGAGGAGGAGGAGGGGGAGGAGGAGGAGGAGGAGGAGGAGGAGGAGGAGGAGGAGGAGGAGGAGGAGGAGGAGCAGGAGGAGGAGGAGGAGGAGGAGGAGGAGGAGGAGGAGGAGGAGGAGGAGAGTTCAGGGCTTCCGCCTGCTCGGTCGGGACTCCGACGGCCCAAGACGGCTCCGTGGGCTTCCCAGCTCGCCCGCGCACGGCCCCACGAAGGGGCACCCCGAGAGGGCCCCACGACGTCCCAAGAGAGCCCCGGGGCAGCGCAAGAGGCCCAAGAGGGCCCCAAGAGGCCCCAGAGGCCCGAGGGCCTCTAGATTCCGAGGCAGGAGTTCATGCATGATCACCGCCTGGAGGATCAATGTTCGGGGACCTCGGCAGGCGGTGGATGTGGACATATTCGGGCCCCCGGGGGCCAACATATATCCACATCCACCCCCCGCCGGGGCACCAGGACGTCAGTTCCCAGGAAGTGGACATGGATACTTCCCCGCCTCGCACAGATGGCCCAGGTGGGCCTGCAGTACCGTCCAGGAGGCACGGATAGTGGCCGAGGGGCTTGTCCAGAGGCAGCCCGGGGGGCGGCCCTCCTCTGGGGCCGGTCCTCGCGGGGGCCTTCCTTTCCTAGAGGGACACGAGGGTGGCAATGCCGCTAGTCCCCTGATCTCTCCGCTTGGATGACCGCCGCGGGGGGTGCCGAAGGGATAAAAAAGGGGTTAGTGTTGAGGCGGGCCATTTTTGATCGAAGCTAGCCCATTAAGCGGGCTGCAGCTGCCCTGAGTGTATCAGGGGATGCAGATCTGGTCTCAGCGGGCGGAGCCCACTTCGCGGGTGCATCGAGCCATCCTAAGTGATTTAGCAGGGCATCGGTAGCCCGCCCATTCATAGGCTCATCAGCTAGGTTTGGCCAGGCGTAACTCACCTGAGCATTCACTTCTGACTTTCCCTATCCCCTAATCAAACCCCGCGGTGGTCTGAGCAGGGGCCTGCCTTGACCAGGATTTCGAGGCAAATCCGGCCGCGGCGACGAGGAGTGGTCAGCGGCACCGTAACGGGTACTCACTAACGGGTACTCTGCAATTTTGCAGCGTTGCCTTTCTGGGGCCTCTTTCTGGGGCAGTGCAGCGTTGCCCCTGACGGGAAGGGTTGGGTTCGCCAGGTCACTGGCCAAAGTGCCCGTTCGTGGAGTCCCCGTTGGAGGGGCGCTGAAAGTGATTGGGCAAGCGGGGTGGACACCGCTCCCTCTGGGGCTCGATCGCGCCCCCCCCCACCCCCTGGGGGCCAACCCTCCGCGGGGGAGCATCGTCAGAGGGGGACAGGCCCAGGGGAGACGCCTCGACGACGGGCCAATTTTCCACCACTGCTACCGTGGGGTAGGACGGAGGAGCAGGGAGGGTGGGGAGATCCTCCCCCTCCTCCTCCTCCTCCTCCTCCTCCTCCTTCTCCTCCTCCTCCTCCTCCTCCTCCTCCTCCTCCTCCTACTCGTCCTCGTCCTCGTCCTCGTCCTCGTCCTCGTCCTCGTCCTTGTCCTCCTCCTCCTCCTCCTCCTCCTCCTCCTCCTCCGTGGAGATGGTGGGAATTCGGGCCATCAATCGAACCCAATCGCCCATCATCGCCGACAGGGGCTCGATGGCCCTTTGCCGCCCAGGAGCCTGCGGCTTCGCTGTCGAGGGCCCATGGCCGATCTATCGGCGATGTACCGCCGATTCGAGGTCGATGCCCCCCTTTCCCGAGCTGCCCTTCCCTAGCTCTAGGCCTCCCAAATGGGGTCCGAGCAGGTAGGGTCGGAGGATTGCGCCGCATCGCCGATGCATCGCTGATGCGTCTCGATGTCGAGCCCGATTTTCTCCACACTGGCGTTGTCGAAGCTCCGCAGGCATCGCCGATACATCGGCAATGCATTGGCGCTGCTGCGCGATCCTCCGACCCCATCTACGCACTCGGACCCCATCCTGGAGGCCTCAACTGACGTGACCATCACGAGGGTGCGAAGTCAGTCGCGCTTCGCGCTTCGCGGTCTGAACGAGGTCAGAGCGATGCGCGAGCCCCATCTTTTCCCTGGGGAGGAGGGCGCCGCGAAAGCGAGAAGAGGATCGCGCTTCGCGGAGAGCGAAGCGCGAAGAGAGTTGCCCCAGATTTACGTGCTCGGATCCCCCTCTGGGAGGCGATGACGATGACGATCGTCATCGTCATCGTCATCGTCATCGTCATCGATACACGTACTCGGACCCCATCTGGGAGGCTTCCACTGACGTTTCTCCTCACCTCCAGCCCTCCGCGCCCTGGGCCGGCCTCTCCCTCCTCCTCCACTTGCTCCTCCTGCTCCTCCTGCTCCTCCTCCTCCTCCTCCTCCTCCTCCTCCTCCTCCTCCTCCTCCTCTCCTCCTCCTCCTCCTCCTCCTCCTCCTCCTCCTCCCCTCCTCCTCCCCCTCCTCCCCCCGCCCCGGCAGGAAGGGCGGCGCCGCCGCGCCGCCGCCCGCGGCGGCCCCAGCCGCCGGCGGCCGCGGCGGCGGCCTGGGTGGGCTGTACGCCTCCACTGTGCTGCCCTTGGGGCGCTGCGGCGCAGGCGCCGCCGAATGCTCGTTCCGGCGCCCTCTGGAGGGCCTTCCTTCGGCCCGAGGAGCGCCCAGGGCGCCCCGGGAGGGCTCCAAGAGGCCCCCTTGCGAGTCGAAGGAGAACGGGCGCCATGAACACAAGCTTTTGGCGCTCCGCGGGGATTTCTCAGATCCGCGCTGGGCCCCCCCTGGCGGCGCCTCCGGCGCCGCCCCTGGCGCGCTGCGCGCGCGCGCTGCGCGCGCCAGGGAGAAAGGTCCAGCGCAGATCCGAGAAATCCGTGCGGAGCGCCAGAAGTTTATGTCCATGCCGCGTGTTTTCTTCCATTGCGAGAGGCTCCCAGGGCGCTCCAGGAGGGCTCCAGGAGGCCCCCAGAGAGGGCCCCGAGATCGGAGGAGCAGGGTGTCAGGAGAGTGGTGCGCTCCAAGACTTCCAGGATCTTCCAGACTTCCTGACGTTCCACGTGGGCTGCAGAACCGAGGGCCGCTGGGTACTATGGAAAGCCTGAAGCTTATCCTGAGCCACTCGTCCTGCGAGAGTCCGCGAGGCCAGGATAATCGATCACCCGCCGACCTCTCTGTTATGTTTTTTTTTCCGCGGAGGCACGGTGGCGGATATGGAACATGAATTCCAATCAACTAGCATAGTAAAGAGGGGAAGCCTTCCCAAGGATACCCGTGCATCCGATTGCCTCCTCGGTCCATCCTTGGCCACTTTCGCTGGCCGCGCGCCGCTGGAGAAGCTTCGAAATGGGCGTCCCAAACCCTCACATCCTTATCGCGCATCCTTACGAAACGGGCCGACTGTAATAAGTCAGGAGGGAAACAAACACACTGACATAATTAATTGTCGATTTCCCGAAAATATGAGAGAATATGGGAAGTGGGGGGGAAGACGAATATCCAAAACAGATGGACAAAGATGGGGAATCCTGTTATCTGTGTATTTATTGGTGTGACCTTGGGCCCCTTCATGCAACAAGGAAGGATGGGACCCCCCAAGGGGTCCCGCTCCTGAGGGCGGGGAGGAGGAGGAGGAGGCGGAGGAGGAGGAGGAGGAGGAGGATGAGTCGGGCAATTTGGGCCTGCAGGGTCCCAAGACCGGGCGTTGACGGACCGTGCTATGAGGTCGTTGGGGATTCCAAGGTCACCACGCGGTCTGTCACGCACAGTTTTGGAACGTTGGGTCGAGATCTTGATCCCCTTCTCCCATGCCCCCCTCGGCTCACTGCGGTTCAGCGACAGAGGTGGAGGGGATGAGGAGGGAGGGAGGAGGAGAAGGAGGGAGGAAAGGAAGGAAAATGAGGAGGATGAGGAGGAGGACGAGGAGAGGAGGAGGAGGAGGAGGAGGAGGAGGAGGAGGAGGAGACGAGGAGGAGGAGACGAGGAGAGGAGGAGGAGGAGGAGGAGGAGGAGGAGGAGGAGGAGGAGGAGGAGGAGGAGGAGGAGGAGGAGGAGGAGGAGGAGGAGGAGGAGGAGGAGGAGGAGGACGAGGAGACGAGGAGACGAGGAGACGAGGAGGCAGCCCTCCGCCCAGGCGGCGGGCCGCCCTCCCCGACCCGAGGGGCGGTGGCCCTGGGCCGCCTCCTGCGCGGCCGCAGCGGAGGCCTGCCCGGTGGCGACGGCGAGGACGGCGGCCCAGCCCCCCCTCGGCGGCCCCCCCCCGCGCCGCTCCGCTGCTCCTCCGACGTCCTCTCCGTGGAGCGTCGTTGCAAGAAGGATCACGACTCCTTCCTCCTCCCCGTCTCCTCGTCGTCTCCTCCTCCTCCTCCCCCTCCTCCTCTGGCGACAACGGGCGCGACTGGGGGGAGGGGAAGGGCGATGGGGGCCGGTCACGGGAATCCCAGGCGGCGTGGGCGCGAATTGTGACGTGACCAGCGGGGGGGTTGGGATGGGCCGGACACGGGCGGGCCCAGAGCAGGCGTGGCCAGAGGAGGAGGTCAAGATCAGAACAGCTTCGTAGACCCGCTGGCTCCCCGAGTGAGATGATCCGTGGCGCCTAACTCGTACCCATTTCGGCCCAAGCTCTGCGATTGTTCGTGGGTCTTTCTGTGGGCGCGGGCGCCCGCCCCGCCTTCCGCATGACGATCCGGCAGGAGTTCCGGAGGCTCCTCGGGGGCTGCGGCCCCGACCAGGTGAAGGTCGACGAGCCGGGCGACGCATGCAGGGCCCGCCACTGCTCCTCCAAGGATAGGCACGATCGAAACGGGTAGGAGGGATGAGGAGGGAGGAGGAGGTCGAAGCACAGCAAAGTAGGGAGGCCGAGGGAGGAGGGAGTTTGGGTCGACGAGGGGGGAGGAGAGTTGGAGGGGGGAGGGGATCAGAAGGTCCTTCCCTCGCGCCCCTGCTCCTCTAAGGAGGTCGAATAATAAATGTCAGCCAGCGTGGACCCGAAACAGTGTGTTTCTGGCACTATGTGTTGTGCAATCTCTGGGGAGCAATATAGGTGGCGCAATCGATGTGGTGCAATGCATGCGGTGCTCTCTATGTGGTGCAACCTATGTGGTGCGATTGATTACCCTGCACCGCGCTTGACCACCTCCCATGTTCTTGAAAGCATCCCACCCACTCACCCGCAACTTGGTTTGCAAATCCCATGTGGCGAGGATCCCGAGGAGTGCTTGGCATTGGCTGGTGCGTCTCTGCGACCGCGCTAGCCCGCGCATGCTCGCGCGCACAGTGGCAAGCTAGTTTTGCGCGACCAACGCGGCCGCGGTTGCGCTGACCGCTTGGCACATCCCATCGGGCACTTCAGTGCGAGTCGGTGACTTGGGCGAGCGCGGTATCATGGCAACGTCGACGACGGCAGACACGATGATGGTAGTAGCGATGGTGACGATGTTGACAACGATGACGGCAAGGCCAATGACGGCACCGATGCTGATCACGCCGCCGACGAAGACAGCATCCTCGCGTCGGTGATGACGGTTTTCGAAGGAGTTCGAGATGCGCGCGCGGCCGACGCGCGAGAGTAGCCGCATGCTATTATTTGACACGGATCGTGCCCCCCCCAGCACGCGCGCAAGGGCGTTCTAATTATCTCAGCATGCGGCGCGAGAGGCCCGTTTTGCAGAATTCCGTGGAACTGTTGAAAGACCTATGGTTTTCTCAGGAATTCTCAAGAGCGCGAACGCGTGTTTCTTTGAAAACTGATGTTGCGAGGCCATTTGTTGTTTATCGTTTTTTTTCGACACTCGGTTTCGATATCGTTACACAACCGATGGTTTTCGACGGATTTCGGTATTCGCGCGCGACGACGCGCGCGTGTGCACTTCGCCGCATCTTGTGCAAACTGATCTTTGCGACGGCACGTCCGCAAGGGCGTTCGAACGATTTCGGCATGCGTGCGCGAAGCCCGTTTGTGAAACAAAGGATGCACAACCACGATATTTTTCAAGCGTGCGCCAGAGCGCGCGCAAGTTTTTGTTTGTTTTGTTTTTGAAAATGCATGTTGCGACACCAGGTGTTTGTATATGTTTTTGAGACACTCGGTTTTGAAATCCTTGCGAAACCTGAGGTTTGTGACAGACTGCGGCACGCGCGCGCGACAACGCGCGTGTGTGTACTTCGAGTTTTTGTTTGCATGGGGTTCTTGAATACGGATGAGTTGCCAAGGGTGGCGGGGGGGATATTGGCTCGACTGGGGTGGTATGAGTTTACATTTCGGATGGGCGATGGGCCAGAACCATATTCACATTCAATACGCAAATTGGTAGTGAGAATCCCCAGGGGGTAGAGCCTATTCTCTTCCATGAAAAGGAGAGTTTTTTCTATCAGAAGACATATACATATAACGGCGCACCGGGTCCGGGGGCCCGGGGCCGGGACCCCGACCGCAAATGTGCACCCCGGGGGGGCCGGAGGCTCGTCGGGGCTTGCCGGAGGCTTCCCCAGTCAGACAAGACGGCCCAAGAAGCGCCCAAGACGGCCCAAGAAACTTCCAAGAGGCCTCCAAGAGGGCTCCGAGATGCTGAAGATGGCCTCCAGACGTCCAAGGACGCCCCCAAGAGGCCCCAAGAAGCCTCCAACATGCGTCCCAAGAGGGCCCCTAGACGCAAAAATTGGCCCATTCCCTTCGTAAAACGTACATTTTCAACAAAGTTGTCTTTTGGGCTTTCCGACGTTACAGGACGGCCCAAGAGGCGCCCAAGACCGCCCCAAGACGGCCCAAGAAGCTTCCAAGAGGGCCCCAGGACAGCCCAAGAGGGCCCCAAGACGGCCCAAGAGGCGCCCAAGATGGCCCAAGAGGGCCCCAAGACGGGCCCAAGAGGGGGCCCAGAGGGGGACCACGAACCGCAAGCTCGAGCCTTCCGCCCCAAGAGGCCGCCAGGAGGCCCCCAGGAGGCCCCTCAAGAGGCCCCGGGAGACCCCAGACGTCCAAGGACGCCCCCAAGAGGCTCCAAGAAGCCTCCAACATGCGTCCCAAGAGGGCCCCTAGACGCAAGAATTGGCCCATTCCCTTCGTAAAACGTACATTTTAACAAAGTCGCCTTTTGGGCTTTCCGACGTTACAGGACGGCCCAAGAGGCGCCCAAGACCGCCCCAAGACGGCCCAAGAAGCTTCCCAGAGGGCCCCAGGACAGCCCAAGAGGGCCCCAAGACGGCCCAAGAGGCGCCCAAGATGGCCCAAGAGGGCCCCAAGACGGGCCCAAGAGGGGGCCCAGAGGGGGACCACGAACCGCAAGCTCGAGCCTTCCGCCCCAAGAGGCCGCCAGGAGGCCCCCAGGAGGCCCCTCAAGAGGCCCCAGGAGACCCCAGACGTCCAAGGACGCCCCCAAGAGGCCCCAAGAAGCCTCCAACATGCGTCCCAAGAGGGCCCCTAGACGCAAAATTGGCCCATTCCCTTCGTAAAACGTACATTTTCAACAAAGTTGTCTTTTGGGCTTTCCGACGTTACAGGACGGCCCAAGAGGCGCCCAAGACCGCCCCAAGACGGCCCAAGAAGTTTCCCAGAGGGCCCCAGGACAGCCCAAGAGGGCCCCAAGACGGCCCAAGAGGCGCCCAAGATGGCCCAAGAGGGCCCCAAGACAGGCCCAAGAGGGCGCCCCGAGGGAACCCCACGTGGGCCCAAGGAGGCCCAAGAGGGACCCAAGAGAGCCCCAAGAGAGCCCCAACATCGGTCACGCGGAAGAGCTCTCGCGTGACCGATGTTGGGCCCCTCTGTGGGCTCCTCTTGGAGCTCCGAGAGGAGCCAAAGATGGCCCCACGAGGGCCCCGACGAGACCCCAAGAGGACCCAAGCAGGCCCAAGAGGGACCCAAGAGAGCCCCAGCATAGGTCACGCGGAAGAGCCCTCGCGTGACCGATGTTGAGCCCCTCTTTGGGCTCCTCTTGGAGCTCCAAGAGGGGCCCAAGATGGCCCCACGAGGGCCCCGAGGGAGCCCCACGTGGGCCCAAGGAGGCCCAAGGAACCCCAAGATGGCCCCAACATCGGTCACGCGGAAGAGCTCTCGCGTGACCGATGTTGGGCCCCCTCTTTGGGCTCCTCTTGGTGCTCCGAGAGGAGCCCAAGATGGCCCCACGAGGGCCCCGTCGAGACCCCAAGAGGGCCCAAGGAGGCCCAATAGGGCCCCAAGAGGGCCCCAACATCGGTCACGCGAAAGAGCTCTCGCGTGACCGATGTTGGGCCCCTCTGTGGGCTCCTCTTGGAGCTCCGAGAGGAGCCCAAGGTGGCCCCACGAGGGCCCCGACGAGCCCCAAGAGAGCCCAAGAGGGCCCCAAGAGCGCCCCAACATCTCCTCTCCTTCCTCCTCCTCCCTCCTCTGCATCTTCCTCCTCCTCCTCCTTCTCATCCTCCTCCTCCTCCTCCTCCTCCTCCTCCTCCTCCTTCTCCTCTCCAGGGGAATGAAAACCAGAGGATAGCTCACGGAGAGCCCAAGCACCCTCTTGTTGCATCCATCTTGGCTTCCAGATGGAGCCCAAGAAGGCCCCAAGGAGGCCCCTCAAGAGGCCCCAGGAGACCCCAGACGTCCAAGGACGCCCCCAAGACGCTTCGCGTCACCAATTTCTTCTCGCAACGATTCCTGGGTCTGTGACTCGACAGAACCTAAGCGCGCGCGAAGCGCGCGCGTGGTTCTAGTATATATATATGTGTGTATATATATATATATGTATGACAAACGAGTTGACAACATCCATGCTCTTGCAAACATCCCACCCACCCACCCGCATCTTTTTTTGCAAAACCCATGCGGTGGCGCCTGCGATGATTGCTGGACGCTGGCTGGCGCATGTCTGCGGCCGCGCTACCGCGCACAGGGTCGCGCGCATAGCGGCCACTGGGTCTTGCGCGACCGACGCGGCCGCGGCGGTGCTGACCGCTTGAGACTTCAGCACTTCAATTCGAGTCGGTGAAGCGGGCGGACGCGGTACCATCGCAACATCGGCCGCGGCAGACACGATGCTGCGAGTAGCGTTGCTGGTGGCGGTGGTGATCATGATGACGGCATGGCTTGTGACGTCGCCGATGCTGATCACGCCGATGACGATGATGGTTTCCGCGCGTCGGTGATGAAGGTTTTGGAATGATTTCGACATGCGCGCGCCGCCGACGGGCGCGAATGGCCCGCATTGCATTTTTTTGGCAGGGATCCTGTAGAGGGAAACGGTTCGTGGATAGTCCCTTCTCCCTCAAATTCAAATTTGGCACGCGCGGAGGATACCTGCGGTCCAACTACAACTCATCAAACCCACCGCCAATTTTGAGCATTGGGGGGGGAGGTGTTGACCGATGAATTTGGCATGGGTGTTCTGGTTTTCCGAGGCGTGTCGTGCCCCCCCAACAAACGCGCCAGAGCCTCCGAGTATTTTCAACATGCGCGCGCGGGGGGCCCGATTGGGTCGCATGTCAAGCAAATATGGGCAACCTAGTTTGGATTGCCGCAATATTTCGCAACAGCAATCGTGCATTTCCTTCGAACCGCATGTTGCAACGCCATTGCTGATATTGTAGAGGCCTCTGGCCAGTGCCGCCGATCCGGGGCGCTCCCGCTCGGATGATGATGATGATGATGGTGATGGTGATGGTGAAGATGATGGTGATAGTGATGATGATGACGATGATGATGATGGTGGTGGTGATGGTGATGGTGATGGTGATGATGATGATGATGATGATGGTGATGATGATGATGATGAGGATGATAATGATGATGATGATGATGATGATGATGATGATGATGATGATGATG